AGTGAGATGCCTGCAGACCTCCACAGCAGGATGAGAGAGGAGAGCACATCACAGCTCTGACACAGGCATGTGAGGGTACAGAGAGCCACAGGGTCCTCAGCAGAGGAGCTGGAGGGTGGCAAAGGGAAGAGGCATGAGTCCATGAGCTTAGCTCAGGCTGCAGAAGCCAAAAGTTGGGCAACTCTTCCTTCAATGAAAGCTGAGCTTCTCTAAGCCCAGAAGCTGAACTTTTAAGAAAGAGCAAGTCCCTGCCAGGCACAGCAGCAACACAAGCTGCTTGTCCCCCTCACGGACTTTGTTCCCTCTGCTGTGGAGAAGCAGCCCATGACACAGCAGGACAATCCAGGAGATTTAGGGCTGCTGGGCACACGGATCCCAGCCTGAGCCCAGGAACAAACCATCAGAAGCCAGACTGGTGCTCAGCGGGATCTTGCCACAGGGCTAGCGATCCCTCTAGCCTCTGCCAGCCCAGGGCTGGACACCTCTGTTTGCAGGGCAGTGCCAGTGGGGGTGGGCAGGGGACTGCCCTGCAGCCACTCCCAGGGAGACAGGGTGCTCTGCTGCCCGGCTGGGCTCGCCAGTCTCTCCTCTCCCCAAACAAGGATCCCCACGTGCAAAACTTGACACTGAAAGGGAGAGATCCCCACCCAGCTCCAGGGGTTTCTCTGAACCCCTGGATGCCCACCGTGGGCAGGAGAAAAGAAGCTGATGCTCTCCCCTTCCCCAGGCTCTGCAAGGGGGCAGTGCCCACAGCCCCGGAGCAGGACTGGCAAAGAGTGAGGGCAGGAGGAGAGCCCAGCATCCAGGCAGCCCGAAAGACAGGGCCCTGCCTGATCTGCCCCGTCCCAGCCCCTTGCTCCAGGGGCTGTGCCCCCACTAGGGACCCCGCAGGGGACCAGTGCCAACAAGAGCCCCGTGTCCCTGCAGCCACCGTCCAGGGCTGGCACCCCAGGGTACAGCGTGCCATCTGAATAACGGGAAGTGCCAGAAGAGCAGTTTCCCACTCCCGGCATTAGCACTGTGCACTGGCTCCAGGCAGGCTGCCCTGATAGCAGCTCCATCCCGCGCAGCCCTGCTCGTGCCCAGGGTGAGCGCCCTTTGCAGAGATTTCCTTACCATGTTCCCGGCCTCCTTTATTCCCCCTCACTTCCAAAGGCAGTGTTTTTTCTCTTTTTCCTCCATGTGTGCGACGGGGCGTCTCCTCTCCCCTCCGACGTGAACCACCGAAGCACTTTGAGTTCTGGACTGTAATCCAAGCCCTCACCGCCCCCAGCACAGCTCCAACTAATCTAACTCATGACACTACCGGAGCTGAGCAGGGGACCTCGAAGGTTTCTCTGACAGCCAACTCCAGTGCTAGACAGCGGAGGGGCATAGCAAGCGCCGGGTGCCACATTCCCCAGCCCTGCAGGGACCTTACGGACACAGGCAGAGACAGCAACACTCGCAGGCTGCTTGTTATGGCATCGCTGCTATCTGCGTCCCTCAGAGTGCACCTGGCCCTCCGCACAGACCTGCTTAATGCAGATGCTCTGTGGCAGGGAGCTGCCTTCACCCGTGAAGATCTGAATAGCTGCTAGAGGAGAACAAGCCCACGGCAGGCATCCCGAGAAGGTCTCCGGCTTCCCAAAGAGGTTTCCAGCAAAATGCTCCCCCCGCCTCCTCTTGGCTTGGTTTTCTTTAAGTCCAGAGAAGTTTCCCCGCTCCGCGAGATCCTGAGGCAGCGCTGCAGGTTAAGCAAAATGCCGAGAAATACAAAAAGAGTGCTCTGAAATACTGTTTTTCTAACTTCTAGAAGGAAAACAGAGAGGCAGTGACCGCTTCAGGCAACAGCAACAAACTGCATTGGTATCAGGCAAGAGATGTGGAGACCTCACCCCCTCCCAAAGGAGGAAGTAATTTAACATGGCCAGTTTCTCCACCCCTCCATTAATTGTTTAAGATGGCCAGGGGCCAAAATACTGCCCGAGCAGTGGGAGCAGTGGGGAAGGTCACCGAACAGGCAGGCAGCAGCCTACAGAAGTGACAACGGGAAAGGGCAGAGCCACAGAGGCGGAGAGGGAGGGGAGAGGCAGGTGCCGCAGGGCATCCCAGGAACTGCTGACACACAAAGGCTTTGTGTAACGGGAAGCGGGGTGGGAAGTGACACACAGGCGAAGCCCCAGAGCCCTGGACATGAGGTGCAGGGCCTGGCAGAAGGTCTTTGGACTGGGAGCTGCTTCCCCAGCCTTGGCCGAGCAGCGCGTGGTCTCGGTCTCGGCAGCATCGGTGGGGACTGACCCTCCATCAGGGAGGCCACGATGCTGGTACGTGGCTGTCCCCGTTTCTGGGAGAGGTCACACAAACTAACCCATCCCAAGAGGAAGGGTGACTCAGGCAGGACATGAGGACCTACAGCAGGAGGGAAGACATCCCCCGCATGGAGAGGCTCAGTAGAGGAGCACAGGGTACTTGCCTGCTGAAGCTGGGGCAACTGCTGCCAAACACCTCTGCTGCCCTGGCTCAAGGGGCAGGCCCCCACAGCCTTCCCAAGCCCTGCTCCACAGGGCCAGCAGCAGAGCCCACGCGGGCTGGTCCAGCTCAAGAACACCTTCAGATACTCCTCTCCCAGGGAGGACTGCCAACAGTTGGCCCTAAAACCCATTGCACATGATAGCCTCATGGCATGTTTTCAGACATAACCAGCAAACAAGGCTTCAAGCAGTCACAAAGCCAACCACTCAATACACCAGCTGCTTGATGTGCTGTTGAGTCTCCTACAGGCAGCAAGGATGGATGACAGTCCCTTGCAGGGATGCAGTCTGTTTTCCTTAAGTGGAAAGAGATGTCCTCCTAAAAGGAGGTGCGACACTGACAGTGGACCAGAGCTGAGCAGCTGCCTCACTGTTCAGCGCTTGTCTTCCAAACAGTCCTTGCTTGCAGAAGCTTCCCCATGGCCTCTGACAGCTAGTCACCTTCTCCCTACAGCGGCAGGGCACTGCCTGCAGTCCACCATAGCAGTGAGAACCTCCAGCCTACATCAGGTGAGATCAGTTGATAATCCCAAGCTGGGTGAAGGAGAGCATCCCTGCCAATGCAAAGGGTATTAACAACCCAGCACAGGCACTACTTAGTTGTTGTGGACCACAACGACTAGAGGAATTTGCGATCTCGTCTGTGGATGCAGGAGAGCCTTTCTTTCCCCCCTCGTATTCATAGTAGGAGGATGAGGAGCCTGGCATACTTCCCCAGCAGAGCCTCTGACCACAGATTTCACAGTCTGCACAAGGCTACATTTGCAGAGTAGCTTTGCCCTTCATCCGTTCCCCAAACACATCACCCAGCCCACAAATGTGGCTACACCTTCGCAACGTCCTCCTGCGGGTGCTGGGAGTCTCCCTGTGGACTGACCCCCCCTCTGAGAAAGGGAGCACAGACAGCAGTGTCCCTCCAGCGCACACATGGCTGTGACAAACCTCACGCTATCAGAGGTGCTGAGCTATTTCTGTTGGAGGCACAGCCCTCACCGCAGAGTAAAAGGAGGTAGAAAAGATCCACCATGCCTCTCATGCCCAGATGTTTTACGGAAATTTCCTTGCTGTTTCTTCAACTGCAGCAATATATGCGGGTTTCCTTTCAGGAGGCCACGGCTGCCCGGGGCTAACCCAACCCCTTGCACATGGCTATTTTCATCCAGCATACAGGTCTCTGCTGTTACCCTAGGGTCTGCAGGGGACCAGCCTCTGAGCAGAGATCTGAAGCCTCCAAGCACTCTGGCTGCCAGCAGCCTGGGTACCAAGACTGGGCTCTTCAGGGCTACTCCAGCAGCGGGCCAAAGCCCCAACCATTTGTATACAACCCGTTTGAAAGCCTGTTGTGGGGCTGAAAGGGGCCCCACAGGCTCCTGCAGGAGGGCTACTGCACAAGCCAGGAGCTACCTCACCTTTTGAAACAGAAACACGTGCTCCCCGGGCACGAAGGGCGACGCAGACCCAGGAGGGGCTGGGGCACCCTGAGAGCCCGTGGGGACAAAGGGGATGGAGCAGAGAACCTGCTCCCACGCTGTAACTGAGCTGGTCAGGTCTCCTGCACCCAGATCTCTGGCAGCATCTCCAAGATGAGAGTAGCTTTTGGCTTTCCTCACCCCTTCAGGTGGCTTGCACAGGCCTGGGAGCACAAGGTTGCCTTCTCCTTTAGTTCTGAGCTAGCAGGTAAGACACTGTCAAGTCACCTAATTCCAGGTCTTTGAGGGCCAGGAAGAGAAAAGCGGCACTTTCAGGGGCTGGTGTAGGAGTTTGCAGCATCCCCATAAACAGATGAGGAGGGCACCATGTAAGCACACGGAGCCCTTATCTAGCTCCTATCCCATTTTCCACCTCTGTGACCAGGGACAGAGCCAGATGCATCCCAGACCACACAGCTAACAGTTGCTATCCAGGTCCTACTCAAACTATATAACCATTAGCACATGCTTTTTGCAGTGCAGCAGCCAGTTCGGTTGTGGAGATGACAACTGAAAGCTCTCCGCAAGCTCCCAAGCCAACACCACACGGGACAATGCAGGAAAGTCGATGGCTGTAGGTAGACATTTATAGAAGCAGAGGGGGAATGGGTCACCTAACACAAGAGCAGCTTAGAGCCCAACCTTGCGCCTCCTCCCTTTTCTATGCTGCGCTCAAAGCTCAGGAGCGCATTCCCCCATCAAGAATTTCCAGGCTGAAGAGCCCGAGTTCAGCTCACCCCCATCCCAGTCGGAGGCAGTGACGTGATTTCCTGTGCCGTGGCACTGCGCTAAGGGGAACATCGCACTGCTGTTTACTCATGGCTGGATCCTAATATAGCTTTTTTTTTTTTTTTTTAAATCACAAAGTGGCCTTTCCCTCCTCTCCTGCATTGTAGATCCATTTCCCGCACAAGCACATGGGAGACAGCTGTAGCCAGCACTTCAGTGGGTGTTAAAAAGCCCCTCTTGACTGAGGCTGACAACAATGCCATGCTTGTTCCCCGACACAGTCTCGCACTGTCTCCTTGCAGGAGCAGCTCCTCGCTTTTACGCGAGGCCTGCGCTTTCCTCAGGGTTGATTTAATTGCTGAAGCCAGTGCAAAAGGCTGCTGTCATCCAGCTCTGCTGGCAGAGATCGGGGTGCTCCAGCTTCCCATCCAGCAGACCCAGGTCCTTTGCATGGACCGATGGGGAACTGCTTTGGTACCCGCCTGCGGCAGCAGCCAAGTACTGCTAAGCACAACCTGTCCCAGAGGTGAAATAAGGCAAAAGGCAGCAAACACCGACATCAGGAAGGATGGGGAGCAAAACTTGGAAGGCTGTGGGGCCTCCCCAGAGTTGTAAGAGGATGAGGTGGGAGAGGGGTCAGTACACCAACTGTTCTGAAACTTCAGGGGTCATAACTTCAGACCCACATCTCTTTCCCCGCCTGCCTCCTTCCCCTTTGTTGGATCTGGTTTCTGGAGCTGCAGTATTTCTCAAGTGCCTGCTGAAGCAGTACCACAAGCTCGAGCGCAGGCAGAGGTAGGAGGCAGGCAAGGGACCTCTGCCTTTGAGTCACCGCGAGCATAGTTCTGCTTATTTTCAATTGTGCAAATCAGGGAAAGCTCAATGTTTTTACGAATAGGACTCAGCTGTGCTGGAAGAAACACAGGACAGATGTTTTAGATGCCAGATAAGGACATCTTCTGACCTAGGGGAAGTTGTGCAATATGCATGCTAGCTAGACGATTGCACTACAGCAGCCAACAGCTCTTAGGAAAACACCCCCATGCACTCCATGTTAGCTTAGCATAATCACTGGTGAAGTCCTCAGCACAGCATGTGGAAACTTCCCATGTCCATAGGGGCTTCCAAGGGAAAGGAGAGCCTGGGAGCAGGCTGTGGCAGAGCAGTACTCCAGGACCTACGGCTCCTGCTAACCCACTGATCAGTGGATGCCTCTGAATCTACTTCCAGGCATCTCCTCATCACCAGACTGCGGTTCTCTGCCAGCTCCCGTGTCCATGCACGTGGCTATGCAGCTGTCCCATGGATTAAGCTGTGCCCTGAAAGTACAGGTTCGAGAAAGGTACATCACAATCCCACCAAGCTATCCACTGTGAGCCCCATTCCCCTTCCACTTGGCAGCCTATAAAAACATGGGAAGCCACCAAGAAGCAGCGTTAGACCCCACTCAGCACAAGCAGGTGCCTTAAGACCAGCAATAGATGTATGCTTGAAACAGGTTTTGTCAAATAAAAGCAACAAGCGCTGCGGCAAGTAGAGCGGCAAGCAGCCCTTTGTACCAACAACGTTTCAGGAAAGAACTAGTTCTCTCCCCATTAG